GTTGTTGAAATACAGTAAAATGCACACATATGAAGTATGCATTATGATTATTTTGACATGTTTTGACACTTATGTAACCAAGACAAATCAATTAAAAAGCATATCCATGACTTTTTTTTAATTTGAAATCTTATAGACTATGTTTCCTGCATGATTTATTACATTAGAAATCAATCAGCTTGGACCAGGTTGTGGCTCAATAGTAGAGCACTTGTCTAGCACGTGTGAGGCACTGGGTGATCCTCAGCACAACATAAAAATAAGTAAATAAATAAAATAAAGGTATTGTGTCCATCTAAAACTAAAAAGAAAAAAAAGAAATTTATATTAAGAAATATAAAACATTACTCCCACATGTCAACTACTTCAGAATTAAATGACATATTTATAAATATCTCACAGGTTTAGAAAGAAAGCACAAGTAAATAAAAAGTGTTTTGAACTAAGTGTTAATGAAAGCTTAACATAGGTGCCCAGCCTTGCTGAGAAGACCTCTGCTCTGGCACAGAGAGGACGGCTCTGCAGCTTCCCATCTACCGATGTGTGGCTTTTCCCAGACTGCCTCCAACTTGGGACATTGCAGCCACAGCCACAGCCCTCCCATGTGGTAGCTCCACTGTGGTACAACAGAGAGGGCCTGGAGGCAGCTGCCAGCTGCAGCACCACAGGCCATAGCACTGCACCACTCAACAGGCCACCCAGTGCCATCATCCCACCTGGCTGTCTAGCCCCATCTCTGAAAGCAATCTCCTCCATCTTGGGACACCTCTGCCTCCATATTGGGTTACCTCCACTACTCAGCATTAAGATAATAAAATTATGGCATTTGCAGTTAGATGGATGGAGTTGGAGAATATTATGCTAAGTGAAATAAGCCAATCCCCAAAAATTAAAGGCCGAATGTTTTCTCTGATAATTGGATATTGATCCACAATGGGGGAGGGGCGGATGAATGAAGGAACTTTGGATGGGGCAAAGCCAGGAGAGGGGAGGAAGGGGAAATTGGGGAAGGAAAGACTGTGGGATGAGATGAATATTATTACCCTGCACACATGGTGAGACTCTACACAGGTACAACCAGAGAAGTGAAAAATTGTACTCCATTTGTGTACAGTGAATCAAAGTGCATCCTGCTGTCATGTATAAATAATTAGTACAAATTTTTTTAAAAAATAAAGCTGAGTGCACACAATTGCCAAAAAGGAAAGCTTAAAATATCAGATCTCTTGGGCTGGGGTCATGGCTCAGTGGTAGAGTGCTTACCTAGCATGCACGAGGCACTGGGTTCTATCCTCAGCACCACATAAATGTAAAATAAAGATATTGTGTCCACCTAAAACTAAAAAATAAATTTAAAAAAAATATCAGATCTCTGCGTTGAAACAGTACTAAAATGAATGTTTATAACTCAAAGTACTTGTATCAGAGAGAAACTAGATTAATAATCAAATTATTTTCAAATTAGGTAGTAGAAAGGAAAAAATAGAAGTAGGAGCAGAAATATATGAAACAGAAAAAATAATACAGCTAATAGGTGATAAAAATCAAACAAGTCTAATCAAGAAAAATCATGCTTCACTTTTTAATCAACGAGGAAACCTTTCCTAGAAGCTACCAGACTCCTTTCACATCCCATTGGCCATGAGTGGGTCACGTGCCTTTTCCAAAACCAGTCACTTGCAAGGGAAATGTGATCATAATTTCCTTGGACAGTTTACAGTCCCAGTAGCACATCAGAATTAGTTGGAAGAGAAGGGAGAGAATTACTTGGGAAAGAAGAGACAGCTAGGAAAAGGAAATACCAAAAGGTGAGGGATGGGCAAGAGGAGAAGATGAGGAGAGTGAGCAATAGATGGGGAGAGTGAGAAAGACAAAGGAGATGGGACACACAGAAACCAAGTGGAAGGAGAGAAACCAGAAACAGTAAGTGCTCTGGACAAAAACCAATCACCCCAAAATATTCTGCAGTGTTTTGTGAAGCTTTAAGACGGAAATAGGAAGGGTTATTTTATTTTCTTAGGAAGACAACACAGGTGCAGGTGGGAGAGGAATGATTGATTATTTTCCAACAGAGAGATCCTGTGGTCTCTCAAGCTGGCAAAGTGGTTATGTAGCAGCCCCTGGCTTTCTCACAAAGAGGCGAGCTTTCTCTTTCTCACAAAGGGATCTGGGACAGAAGCTGAGAGCTGCAGAGTAGACTGCAGAGTTGGAGTTCAGGCCACACCTGGGGTGCTGGGTAGGTAGAAGGTTGACAAGGGTTAGAAGAGAGATACCTTTCCAGGGTGGGTGAGGGGGCCTGATGCTGGGTAGTGGGTCCTCTCCAGAGGAAGTCACCCCAAGGCCTTGTTCAGGGTAAGCCTTGCCCTGTAAGTAGACAGGCACCGCAGTCTTCCAGGATGCAAAATCATGAAACTTTTGGCGTCCCAGCTTCCTGATCGAGACTCCTTGATCTCTTCCTCAGAGCATGCATTTGGCACCATAAATGAGGGATAGAAATGTCCACAAATTCAGGCCCGTTCTTCAAACTACATCACTAGCCCTTCTGTTCCAGCTAGATTTGGAGATATCAATGATACACTCTGGGTAAAAGCAAATGAGAAATGATCTCCCTTCACCCCCATAAGAAAATAAAAGGGCTTGACCAGAGGACAGCATGCTAGACATTGCCTCTGACCCCACAGGGGCCTGAGAGGGTCAAGACCGCCCTGAAGTTCAAAATAAAAAGGAGTGGAATTGCTGGGTACAATTGGCTTCACCATTGCTTCCACTCATAGCAGCAGTGTTTAAAAATAGCTATTTTTCTAAAATTTTATAAGCTTTCTGATTTGTTTTTTTGTACTAGATATTGGGTTCAGGGACACTTTACTTCTAAGCTACATCCCCAGCCTTTTTCTCACTAAGTTGATTAGGGTCTCACTGAGTTTCTCAGGCTGGCCAGGAACTTGTGATCCTTCTGCTTCAGACTCCCAAGTCACTAGAATTATAGGCATGCACCCATCACACCTGGCCAAGCTTTCTGATTTTGACAAGCTGGTGCTCAAAGATGATACTGAAACATCTTGTTTAAATTTGCCTTTCCCTAATCACAAGTGAGGTTGAACATCTTAATTTGAGTATAGATTCATATGCATTTCTTCTGTAAATTGCCTCTTTATATCTTTTTTGCATTTTTGTAGGTATTGGGGATTGAAACCAGAGGCCTTCTTCCATGGAGCTGCACCCCCATCCTTTTTATTTGTTATTTTGAGGCAGGGCCTAAGTTGCCCTAGCTGGCCTTAACTTGCAATCCTCCTGCCTTATCTTTCTAAGGAGCTGGGATTATAAATGTGTCCCACCATGCACTGTGGTTCCTGTTCATATCTTTAGAGAAGTTCTCTTTTGGATTTTATGTCTTCTTTTATTGAGAAGTAGCAATTCTTTATGTAATATAGGTATTATATAACTTTGTCACATAGATAGATATAGATGATATAGATATGAATAGTCATGTAGCAACACACCACTCAGTTTTACTTCTTCGAGAAAGAAGCTCTCATTCCTCCATATACTAGAAGCATAGGTAGCTAACAACTCTCATTTAAGTCTTTCTCTTGAACCTGCCCTCGCCAAAAAGAAGTTTCACCCAGGTCATGCTCCCTCCCTGGAAGCTGCCCACATCCGGTGACAGATCACTGTGGAGGCATAAATCTTTCCTCAATTTAAGGCAACTTAGCTCCAGGGCTCCCTGTGGAATAAGATCACCTAACCTTACCTTAACCTCTAGAGCTGCTGGGCTTACAAGCGTGCCCCACCATGCCCAGCCAGAGTCAGCTTCTTGCAGACCATCAAAGTTGTGTTTCTTCTGCCTACAACCACTAAAGTATTTTTGAGTGAATGGTATGATACCCCCCAAGATATTTTACAATATCCCACTCTCACCTCCTAAAAAATGTCATGGGGGAAATAGATGAGATGAGATTGACAACATGTTAATAATGTTGCAGCTGGACAATGGGTGCATGGGGATTCATGACACTATTTGATCTATTTTTGTGTTTAAAAATTTTAATAGGGTTGAGGGTGTAGTTCGGTGGTAGGGGACTTATCTAGCATGGGTGAGATCCTGGGTTTGATCCCCAGCATCACAAAGAGAAACAGAGAGAGAAAGAGAGAGATTTAATAATAATTTTTTTAAAGGTTACTTGAGCTAGGCACAGTGGCACACACTTGTAATCCCAGCAACTCGGGAGCCTGAGGCAGGAGTATCATGAGTGCAAAGCCCTAGCAAAGCCCTAAGAAGCTTAGCAAGACCCTGTCTCAAAAATTTAAAAATAAATAAATTAAAAAGACCAGGGATGTTGCTCAGTGGTTAAGCACCTCTGGGTTCAATTTCTGATACCAAAAAAAAAAAAAAAAAGAAAAGAAAAAGAAAACAACAAACAACAACATCAACAACAACAACAAAAAAAACCCCTTTATCTTAAAAAATAAATAAAAGGCTACTTAATGTTGAAGAAAAAAATTTTTTTTGTCACCAGATACTCTTGGAGGCTTTAGAGCTAGAGCCAATAAACATGGTTTCTAGGATCAACTGGCTGAAAGATTATTTACATCTCTCTTCCTCTCCTTGGTGATCTTCAGAACTTCAGTCAAGAAGCAGGTCACCTGGTCCACAGTATAGAAGAGTGAGGCCAGAAGGAAGAAGAGCTATGAATGTAGGGAGAGAGGTTATTGGGATTTGATTTTTCTGCAGCTACCATCTACCATCCTACCTCTGGTCTTACTCTGTGGCACAGTTTAGCAGTTGTGTTTTAATCCACTCCTTTCACTTCTCAGCTAATAAAATGTTAGTTCTAGAAGAAACTTGAGGAAATATCCAACTGTGCCATCTTATTTTGCACCCAGATGCAATATGCCAAGAAAGTGATGGGTGGGTGGGTGGTACGGTGAGATACTGCTCACTAAACTGGTGGGCAGGCTTCCGTTCTTTGGCCCATGTCCCTGAGAAAATAGAAAGGCAATAAGATGAATGTGAATCTTTATTTTATCTAAAAATTGAGGTAAAGGGAACTCTATAAAAAGAAACCATCTGCACAGTGGAAAATGGAAAGGCCCAGCTTCACTTCAGGATCCACGATGCTCCAAAGAAGAAATCAAATTTGGCCAAGGTTAGCCATGATCTTCTTGAGTTGATCGAACTCCAGGGTTGTGACTAGCATTCCAAAGAGGAAAGTGGTCAATTAAGAGTTTGAGCCTAAAGTCCCCTGGAAATAGGTAGTGCTACTGCTCCTGTCGCCTCAGCTTAAGCATGCACTCTGGTGTTTCTGGTGTTGGTGAGAAAATTGACCCAACTTCCCAGGCTCTTCGTCACCCCCATTCCCAACCTGGGATTTGCTCAGTTCTTTTGTCCCATAGGATTGCTGATTCTCCATGTCTTCAAGAATGGTCTCTAGGTGTGAACATCTTGTGCCATGAGCCAGCATCACATGAGGGTGTATCAAGGTTTCCAGAAAGGTCAAGAGGATCAGAGTAGGCAGCATTTGCAGCAGCGGCAGCCAGTCAAGAGGAGAATCCTTTCAAGTTGGCCTTCTCGTTGGTCCCCTTTCAGTATGGCATGGATTTGGCCTGATAAAGCCATGGCTTTTCAACCAGCTAGCTACTCCCACTGGATTCCTAGAAGCTCACAGCTGACCTTCCACAGGCGCTCAGCAGTTTTGTTATTTCGGGCCCTTGGAGAGACCCAAGTCCTCTTACAGTCACTGGAAGGCAGAGATGGGAGGAGAGTATTAGATGTGAGAATTGGCAGTCTGGGAATGCTTGTGATCTCTTCCTCTAATGTTTTAAATACATTATATATAATGTACTAGGCTCAAAGAAACCATATTAAAATGCATATTTTAAATTTTATAAACAAATTTGGAATATGGTGATACATCAGCTTTTTAATTAATGTATTCTATCACAATATGTAGCATCAGAATTAATAACCATGGATTTCAAAGTATGGTGAGCAGAAGTGGCATTATGCTATATTTGTAATAACTGCAATGTTATATGAAAATATTTATACTAGAAGGCTAGAGGACTCAAAGGATAATGGGGAGGGGGGAAACATAGTTCTCAGAATGGTTTTTAAATTTTGTTGTTGTTGTTTTGTTGCTCTGTGTGACGGGAGGGGTTGTTTGTTTGTTTGTTTGGCAGTCTTGAGGAAGATTGAATCTAGGGTTTTGCACATGCAAGGCAAGTGGTCTACCACTGAGCTACCTCCCCAGCCTCCCTCTTTTATTTCCCCCTTTTTTTTTTTGAAACAGTGTCTTACTAAGTTGCCCAGACTGACCTTGTATTTGAAATCCTTCTGCCTTAGTCTCCCAAGTCACTGGGATTACAGACATGATCACCACTCACCACACCTGCTAACATTTGACTTTTTTTTTCTTTTCTTTTTTTTTTTTGGTGGTGCTGGGGACTGAACCCAGGGCCTTATGCATGCTAGGCAAGCACTCTACCAACAGAGCTGTATCCTTTTAATAGTATATTTTTTTCTAATTATGAAATTTCTGTATGGCTTTTAGAAAATGTAGTACTGATAAAAGAAGAAGAGTCTATTAATTAACTGCTTTTCTTCATACTTTTGTTCACTTTCTTCATGTATAAACAGATACAGTCTTTTATATAAAACTGGAATCATACTGCATTTAATTTGAGGAAGATATCTTTCTCCTGTTAAAAATATATTTAATTACAAAAATAACAGATAAATATATGATCTTCTAAACATTTTTAAATAATAAAGAAAAACCTAAAATAAAAAAGTTAAACACCTCCTTTACATGCTATCCAACTCCCCCCAAAACTTCTTAGAAGTAACCACTACTACCCAGTGGCTGGGTATGTATTTACAATAAATACTTATGTAGTTTAGGATTATAGTCATTTTTTTCTCACAACATTATACAACCAACATTTGCCCATTAATTAAATACTATTTGAAAATGTTACATTTAATTATGGCAAAATATTTTATCATAACTTTATGGCAGTGACTTAAACACTGAGACTCTGGAGTAGATTTGTCTAACAGAAATATGATGCAAACCATGTGAGCCACACATGCAATTTAAAATTTCATCTAGTAGCCACATTCAAAAAGTAAAAAGAAATGGGTGAAATTGGTTTTAGTAATATATCTTAGTTAACCCATTATGCCCAAATCATTACAGTATGTAACCAATATAAAAATTATGAATGTCACATTTTCATTTCTTTTTTCATACTATGTCTTCAAAATTTCCATACTATGTCTTCAAAATGTCTTCAGAACATCTCCATTTGGACTAGCCATATTTCAAGTGTTCAATGGCCACACGTGGCTAGTAGCAATAGCACTAAATAGCACCACACTAGAGTCAGACTGCCTGGGTATAAACCCCAGTTCTACCATCTACGAGCTCTATGAACTTGAGCAATTCCTTCATTATCCTGTGCTTCAGTTTCATTTGTAAAGTGGGGATAATATTACCTACCTCTCAGAGTTTGATGACTGTATGAACTAATACACACAAACACTTAGAAGAGTGACAAACACATAAAGAGCTCAAGCAACATTAGTTATTAGCATTTATCCATTTCCCTGTTATTGGACACTGAGTTTATTTACAGTGTTCCACTTAAATGCCCAGCCTTCAACAAAGTGGGTCAGCAGAGAGGACTTAAGTCATGGAATGGGATGGAGATTTAATCCTGGTTTTTCCTTTATTCTCAAACTCAGGTTGCACATTGAACTTGTGATAAGATACAGTACTGAAATTTCTATTTTTATATTCTAACAGATAATACCAATCTCGACAGCACTGGGACAGAGTTGACACTGGAGAAAGAGATGATCTTCTCCCAACAAGTTGGTGCTAAGTGGTATCAAAGAATTTATGAATCAAATCAGCTAAAACCTTATAAGAGGAGAAAAAGAATCCAGAGAGCCTGCTAACAGTATTCTTCGCATATCATAAACACAAGGGACAGTCTTTAACAGCTTTCAGACAGCTACAAAGTTTACATGGAAAAGTGGCACCTAGGTATAAAATAGAGCTATAAAAGCAGTTCTTTCTAACATAAGTTTCCTTGGAAAAGAAAATGGAATTGTTTGCAGATCCAACCCAAACCTGTCTTCCATCATCAGACACAAATGAGGGGACTCGGTGCAAAGCCCAGGGAGTCCTGTACACATACACAGGTAGAGGAGGATGGAGGAGGGAGCCCACACTGCCGCCACACACCTGAAATACTTGCCACTCAGGGGCTCCAGGCCCTCAGCCAGGGCACAGTGCAGACTGGTCTGGGCCCCTTCCCTTGTGGTCTTGACGAATGGGGAAAAGAGCCTCCAGAACAGACACAGCAGGAATGAGTGCCGAACCAGCTCCGAGCTGACGATGCCTGGGTGAACTGCATAGGTGGTGACTCCTGTGCCTAAAGAAAAGACGGCACAGTGAGGCTAGGCACATGCTCTGAGCTCAGGAAAGCAGCTCATCTCTGCAGCGAAACATATAAATAGGAAGAAAGAACTCAGGAAACCCAACCCCAAGGTCCAGAATTCACCACTGCCAGCCAGCCAGGCAGAGTGTACCCAATAATGAATTGATCTCTTCCAGAATGATTTATAGCTTTCTCAGCCTTCTGTGCCTGGTTCAATGTCCTTCTATTTCAATGTCACCTTTATACCAGGGCTAAATTACTACTAATAAAAAAACATGTAGTAAGTAGAAATATGAATTATTAACAGTTGTTTCTTTACCATTTCTATAGGAGGGGCTCAGGAGTAGTGATCTGATTGGAAGGTAGAGGAGCAGGGCCTAGTTTTGAGGTGCATTTGCCCAGCAAGCATATTTTATATAGATTGAGGGTGTTGATGAAGATTATGGAAAGTTAACCTGCTCCCCAGACACCCCTGTGCAACCACTGTTTTCAATACTTATTATAAAACACGCTTTAACTTCATTGTCTCATTTAATTCTTAAAGAGGTTTGTGAAGTAGGTAATATTAAGATGCCCATTTACATTTTATAGCTGAGGAAACTGAGTCACAGAGAGAGGAAATAAATTTCTCAAGGTCATACCTTTTCTCTACCCTGATCCCAGAGATAGAGAAAAGATCAGGGGCTCCAGACCTGGACTTTCTGGATGGTATTCTGGCTCAACTAGGAAACTCACTTGGGCAAATTTATTATCTATACCTGATTCTTCATTTGTAAGAGGAGGGGGAATAACAGCACCCACCTCATAGTAATGTTGAGGATTAAATTAGTTAACACAGAGTATGGCACAATAAACTCCCAATTGCTGTTCTAATTATTATTTATTTTTAGGATTACCCTGTTCTTCTGCCCTTGAGGGTCTGATAGTAAACACTGTTGTTCTCAAACCCTGGTTTATTCACTATAGTAAACGGTCCCCCAGATTCTCAGATGTCAGAGCCAATAACTCGAGCAAAACTCCCAGGGAGCACAGAGTTATTAAGTATTAAGAGCCAGACTCACCTATTCTACAGTTGAGGAGACACAGTCAGGGAGGTTAACTGGACAGTCCACATACACACAGGGCTAGTATGAGGTAGAACAAGAACTCAGACCCCAGGGCCTGAACTCCAGCCCTTCCTGCCTGACTCCAGGTAGTGGCAGCCCTGTAGCTTAGCTCCCCAGGTGACTCCAACAAATGGCACAAAGGAGGAAGCACCTTGATTTAAAGCAGAGCACCCACATTCCATTTCTGACTCTTTGTTTTTCCATGTAATCTTGAGTCAGCCATTTTCTTAGAACTCAGTTCTGACCTATGAAATAGGAATAATACCCATTCTGCCTGTTACAAAAGGTAGCTGTGAAAATCAAATGAGATAATAGATACAAGATAAAATTTTACATATATATAACTTGTATAAAGTTCCTAAATCCTATTCAATATTAAGCTCTCTGGAGACAAAGACTATTGGGTTTGCAGTTTATAGCCTCATTCTCCTCAACACACAGAGCTACTACTGAAATGTACATGTTTTACAGCCTAAATTCAGAAGTTCTGGGGCTGGGGTTATGGCTCAGAGGTGGAGCACTCACCTACCATGCGTAAGGCACTGGGTTCGATCCCAGTACAACATAGAAATAAAATATATTGTGTCCACCTATATCTAAAAAATAAATATTTAAAATAAATAAATAAATTCAGAAGTTCCTGTGAACCTCTGTCTGGACAGGCGACACTGTTTTTGTCATTTTAAACCTGGCCCTTTCTCCAAACTTACCTTGGAGCCTTTTGGCCAACTCTCGAGTAAAAAGCACATTGGCCAGCTTGCTGTGACAGTAGGCAAACCCACTGCAGTAGCGCTTCTCGCCTTGTAGGTCATGGAAGCGAATCTTGCCAATATGGTGGACCACTGATGACAGGTTCACCACCCGTGCAGGAGCAGACTCCTTCAGCCGCTCAAGGAGCAGATGGGTGAGAAGAAAGTGGCCTGCAGAGAGAGCCATCAAGAGATTGACAGCAGCCTAGGCTCAGGGTGTGGGAGCTGATGACAGGACTTCAGCATTAGCTCACTGTCTTCTGGGTGTAAACAAATTCTGATGCCATGAATAACTCAGTGCTAATGGTCATTTGTTCCAAGTTAGCGGATTCCTCAAAGCAAGGGCCAGAGCTGGACTATGGTAAGGCAATATTAATCTTTATTTGTACATCTGTCTTTGCCTGGGTCAGTAAAAAAGCCCTCGTGCTCTATGATCATGATTGCTTAACTGTGGACCCAGGTATACTCATGTACGAGGAAGGATAGAATAGTCAAAGAAAAGGACATTTGCCTGGGATCACAGAACAAGTTCCATGCACTCCTCTCTAAAACCATCACCTTGAACTCTGAACCCCCATATATATGTCTTATACCTCAAGTTTTTGATGTTTGCCTGCCCCCATGGACCAACTCTTGACTTACTTGCATCTCATATGGATTTGATTCCTCCAGTCACACCCAGATTCCTACAAACCTCAGGCCAGCCCTGCCTGGCAAACCTTGCACTGTCATTATCCCATACAAGAATGATGTTCTCTCCTAAGTTTTGGGGTTTCTTTCTTTTTTCCTTTTTTCTGTACTGGGGACTGAACCCAGAGCCTTGCACATGCTAGATAAGCATTCTACCATTGAACTATACCTCCAACCTTTTTTTATTTTTTATTTTGAGACAAGGACTAAGTTGCCCAGATTAGTCTTGAACTTGTGATCCTCTTGCCTCAGTCTCCCCAGCAGCTGGGATTACAAGACTGTGCCACACAATTCTCAGCTGAGATGTGGGGCTTCTTAATGGTATGGATAGGAAGGCCTTGCTTTTTTTATATACTGGTTAGGAGAGGGACAAAAAATACAACAATGTGTCCAATCTATTGGAACAATGAAATCTAAGGGGATCACTGGAGATTCTCAGCACTGATATAGGACCATCTTCCTATAGAGAACAAGGGGGATATGCTTTATTTTAGAGTCATGTAAGTGTACTTACCCAAATGGTTGACCCCCAGGTGAGTTTCAAAGCCATCTGCTGTCTTGGAATATGGACACAACATCACTCCTGCATTATTGATCAGAATATGGAGTTGTTTTTCTTCTGCCAAGCACAACCAAGGAGAGCCTGTGTTAGCGAGGAGACCAATAGCTACCTGTCACAGCCCTGAGTATTTGTCCCTTGTCTTTGTCCAGAAACACTGTTGTTGCAGCAAGGTCACTGAGAAACTGTCACAAAAAATGTGACTCCATTTTTTAAAATAAATAAATAACAGCAGCTTCTACCTTAAGGCCTGTCCTAAGGAAGGGGGTGTGACCCTTGTTCTTGGAAAAACCCACAGAGCACTCCTAGGCACATACCTATCCTGCTGAATTGTTTGTCTGTAAATAACAGGAGAGATCTGTGGCGTCAGGTGTCCCTGACTCAGTTAGGCTAGGTGAAGACCTATGGCAACCCCATAGCAACCACCAATCAGCATGAGACAGGGAAAATACCTGGGATACCAGATGACCCCCCAGTAGTTTATGGTGGTTGATAACATGTTGGGAAACATGTCGTTTAGCATATACACCCCTCGTGGCCTAAACCAATCAGTTCAAAGGAATCCCCCTCTTGTACTAACCAATCACCTCTACCCAAGTTGTTCCCACCAGTGAATGTGCTAATCAATGTTAAGAGTTGTTGTTTGACTTTCCCGCAGTATGGAATGATTTGCTGTGTGATGTTGTGATGCATAGAGTATCCCCCCAAACCTGTAAAATCTCACTGGACAAAGAGCTGGGACTCACTCCCTGGGACGGCTGCATCGGGAACGGTTGTTGAGTCCAGGCTCGAGCTTGCAATAAAGACTCTTGTGTGATTGCATAGGATTTGGCTCCTGGAGGTCTATTGGGGTCCCAACAATCTGGCATTACAGTTATCACTCATTCTGCTCCTTTCTTGTAAGGCAAGGTTTTGCCTAGAAGTCAATAACTATCCCTCACTTGGACCTATTTCAGTGGTATTCAGTAACCATTATCATTGAGTTTCTAGTTTTAGTTGCTTATATCTTCTTGGACACTGTTCATTCATTTATTCAGCAAGTATGTACTAACTACTGACTCTGGGCCAAGCCCACTCTGTTGGGTCCTAAGAATCCACTGGTAAAGAAAAGCAGACCTGGTCCCTGTCCCTCATGGATTCTATAGTTCTTGGTAGAAGCTGGTCATTTTCCAAGACCCAGAAGAATTTTAGCAGTGGTACAAACTCATCTAGTGCCTGTGGCCACAGAAGGCTGATTTTCTGGATGAAAGAAGAAAGTGGCATCAGGGCCACACCTTGATGCCAAGGAACAAGCCCAGACTGGAGCGGACACCTCCAACACTCCTACTGCAGAGCAAAGAGTTGATAAGGATCCTGCCCAGCTTGTCCACCCACCATCCTCTTGCCAATTCCCTGTCCTGCTGGTTCCTGTAGTAGAACCTGCCCAGTGGGATCATGATAGTTCTGATGCAAGGGCCATAGATGGGCCAGGGTAGAACAGTCATTCCCACTCAGTTTCCTGATTTCTTCCCCACCATCTGGGGCCTCACCTGCCAGAAAGCCCTCAGCAAAGGCTCGGATGGATTTGGTGTCAGATAGGTCCAGTTTCCGCACCAGCACCTGGGAGTTCTTTGTATCTGCCCGGATATCACTGGCAGCAGATTCCCCTTTCAGTACATCTCGGCAGGCAATGTAAACTCGTGCTCCTGGGGCCAAGACAAAAAGGGCAATGTGTTCAGATCCTAGGCTGAAAAAGAGGAATAATGAGTGAGCTTGGACAGAGCATTCTCCAGCCACTCCTAAAACAGTGGAGGGATCACATTTCTACTTCCAGATGCTCCTGGGAGCGCTGCTCAGTCTTCTTGCTGTTGGCTTAGCCTGAGGCTGGGAACGCTGGTTTTACAATCCTGTATTTAATGCTGCTTAGCATATCCTATTAGAATAACTGACTTGACAAGTATTCTACCTGAACATCATTGTTTTCCTTACTTTATATAATAGGGAAGGAACAGGGAGGAAGGGAGGTGTTGAAAGCCAGAGTAAGTTAGTGTCATGTAGGACTTGAATCCCAGGTTTCTTAAATTCCCATGGGAGCTTCCAAGCCCAGGAGGAAGGGCAGAGTCCTCAGTGGCGGGAGGCAGAGCTGTGCAGAGGCAGAAAAGAAAGGACTCACCTCTGCGAGCCAGCTCTCGGGCCGTCTCCTTGCCGATGCCTGTGTTGGCACCTGTGATCACCACTACCTTTCCCGGAAGCTGCATGTTCGTTTTACATACTCCACCAGCAAAAAACCTCCTGCCAGCAAGGGAAACAAAAGCATCACACGCCATCTTTCCCAACCCACACCGAGATGCATAAAATAGAGCCATCCAGCTTCTAAGAAGGATATCTTTTACTTTGGAGTCAGGAGGCCAGAAAAAGATATTCTACATAAGATGTTTTTCCTACTGGGCAAGGTAGTGTCCAGTTCATAAGCGCAAGTTGGAAGGTCGTGGGCCCAGAGGCTATGAATGATCACCTGGGCAAAGAGAATAAGTGCTCCAGAGACAGAGCCAATGAGGACTTTCCTTGTCAGATAACAAAGACAACTAACACTTATCTCTGCAGGTTCCCAGGGTCAGCTTCCTCCTGTGACCCACATTCAAAAGACATGAGTGATGAGCATTAGTGGAATGGATGATCCTGAGCCCTAGGTCTCCATTAAGCATCTCTGTGATTAGCTGATGAACAACAACATCCCAGAGGGCAGCACACGGCTGTCTCTCCTGTTCTAGAGAGTGGGGAATCCTCAGGGCCTTTCTGCCATCATATTACAGATTTCATTCTGGCCCTTGTCACATAGAAAGAAAACTTTCTTTGTTGACTTTTCAAGTGAGAGAGAGAGAGAGAGAGAGAGAGAGAGAGAGAGACAGACAGACAGACAGACAGACACCCCAACCCTGACCAGAGAAGAGCACAGCTAACAATTCCTAAGCATCATTTGACTACTATCAGGTACCAGACTAGGGGCTTTCCATACATAATTTATCTTAATCCTCTCAGCCACTCCAGTATTATCTCTACATGACAGTGGAGAAAACTATGGCCCAAAGAAGTTAAAGCCACTTCTTTAAAAAAAAAAAAATATATATATATATATATATATATATATATTTAGTTGTTGATGGTCCTTTATTTTATTTGCTTATTTATATGTGGTGCTAGGAATCAACACAGTGTCTCACATGCACAGGGCAAGTGCTCTACCACTGAGCTACAACTCCAGCCCCTTTAAGCCACTTCTTGTGGTGGCAGAACGGGAATTTGAACCCAGGTCTCTATGCTAGGACCTAAAATGACACTTCTTCCCTAATATGTCCATTTAACCTTCTTTATCATCAGGAAGTTAAAAATTCTCTGTTCAATGTACACATTTCTTTAACACGTCCAGAAGTCTCAGGCTACAGAGTCACCCCAAAACTTTTATTGAGAGTAGTTATCAAAGGGAAGAGTTGATTTCCTTCCCAGGGTGCCTGGTACTTAAAAATGAGTCCCGCGGTAATGTCCCCTGCCATAAACACAACCTAGCTGGTCCACCTTGATCAGGGACAAGAGAAGAAAGGGTGAGCTTCTGAGAAACTCAAGGAATCGAGTGAAAGAGCCAAGACTCCACCTAAGATGACTCTTGAGCTGCCTACAGAGTCATCCCCACAGCCTTCCTCTAGCACCAGACCTCAAATCGGCCCCACCTCCACAGTCCAAATCCTCCCTTCTCATTTTCCACCATGGTATCCATAACCTCTTTATTTCCTGCCTTTTCTGCTCTAACTTTCTCTCCCTCAGCCTCCTTCCCTGTATCTTTTTTTTCCTCTCCTTACAGTGCAGGGTTTTGTAAGCTAGTGTTATAATTTGTTGAATTAAGACAAACCTGATGGATGGAGCTGTCACATACAAGAGCGAAAAGAAGGAGGTGAGAAGTCCCAAGATAACCAGCATCTTTTTGATGTCTTTAGTTGCTGCTGCTCCAGCTTCAACCACAACTCTGGCTCGGGCTCAGGATCTGGCTTGGGCTCAGGATCTGGCTCCAACTCTTGGCTGCTTTGGCTGCTTCTTGCTCCTCTCACGACTAGGCGCTCAGCAACAGCTTGACTCTAAGCACCAACCCAGAATCCTATTTAAATCGGAGAGCTGTCAGAGCACAGCCTCCTGGGAGTTGTAGTCCTGGAGCAGAGAGACTAGAGGAAAGATTAGATCCTTATACTTACTTGCAAAGACAATTTGGGGGAAACTGGAATAATTGCCTCTTAGCTCTACTACCCCCAATTTTGTTTCCTTTCTAGAAATGTGTTCTCCCAAACCACCCACCCCTACTCCTGTAAGAGAAAATACTGTAAACTTTAGTAACAGACCTCATAAAAAACTGGGCATGGTGACACATGCCTGGAGTCCCAGCTATCAGGAGTGGGAGGTGGTAGGATTGCTTTAGCCCAGCAGTTCAAGGCCAGCCCCAGGCCATAGTGAGTACACATCTTGAAAAATGAAACAAAACAAAACACCAGACTATGATGATTGAAATACATGTGTAATGAAAATAGAAAGAAGAGGAAACTCTCAGAGGAATGGTAAACAAGATCAGGAGAGTGGTTACCCTTGGGGAGGAAGGGGCAGTGACTGGGAGGGATTGGTTGGAGCTACTAGGGGATTGGTAGCGTTCTCATCTTTGACCTGAATGCAGGTACACAGGTGCATTCACTGTGAAAATTTGTTGAGTCATACACATTTGATTTGTGCATTTCTCTGTGCCTTATGATGGAATTCACACACCCATCCATATCTACATACAAGCTCTATGGCTTTGAGAAAATTACCAAACCTCTCTGTTAACTCAGTTTACTCACTTACACAATGGGTATGATATATATATATATCTCCACTTGTTTTAAATATTCAGTTATTAAATAGGTAGAAAAATTAAGGCAGAAACTAGTGCATACTACACATGTAGAAGAGTCAGTTGTTATATTTTGTTGTATTGATTCCTCTCTTCCTAGCTATACCACTTGCTTTACTCAGGGTTTGGTGTAGAAAGGGAGACATGATGAAAGAGGGTGCCATTTTATTTTTATTTTAATCCAGAGGTGCTTTACCACTGAGCCACATCTCCTGCCCTTCTAATTTATTTCATTTCATTTTATTTTGATTTTTTTTTTTGAGACAGGGTCTTGCTAAGTTGTTGAGCCTGGCCTCAAACTTGACATGTTCCTATCTCAGCTTCCCAAGATTACAGGCGTGTGCCACCATACTTGGCAAGGGTGTCGTTTAACTTAATGCAAAAGCAGGGCACTGTAGTACATACCTGTAGTCCCAGCTCCTCAGGAGCCTGAGGTGGGAGGATCACTTGAGTGCAGGAGTTGGAAGCTGGCCCAGGGAATATCTCAAAAACAAAACAAAACAAAAGATGGGGCAAACACAGTGAAAAAGCTAGCTTCAACTCACAGGCTCTGGTGTGTGAGGGGATGGGAGGGGACATGGTATTCGTCATCCTTGTTCACTCAGCTTTTCTCTCCTGGGTAGGAAGGCAGGCAAGAAGCTGGGATGCTATCCCAGGAATCATGCCCCAGTTCTATTCCTACCTTCAAAGCCATAGGACAACTTTTACAGGAAAGAAGACTCCTTGGCGGACATGTGTTCACTCCCGTGTTCATCAGTTCATCTATCCACCCAACCTACACTTACTGAGCACTTCTCAGTGCCAGGCCTGTGCTTGTTGTGGGGGAAGATACAGTTCCTGCCCCTCAGGAAACTCATAGGCCTGACCACCAGAAAGGCTGATCAGAGGGTTCCCAGAGGGGACCTCTCCTGACTCAAATCCAAGATTCCCTGCACTTAGGAAGATGGTAACTCTGTTTATCTTGAGTGTGTCTGTGAGGTAGAGAGCCCTAAAGAACAGTATGTAGAACTCTGGAGAAGAGATACATTAGAAGGAATACAGAGCATCTAGAATTATGGAAATACACCAATGGCTTGCTAAAAAAACAAGTGCTAAATATTATAATCCAAAGACCATTATCAGATTGGTATTATTTGTACCAAAATGTTAAATTATAGAATAAAGCTATAATAATAATCTGTTATAATAATAATAACACTACCATTTAGTGTGTTACAGATAGGTGAACAGACAAAAAGAAAATCAAAACAACAGAATGGAATGGCAAAAAATTGACCCAACTTCATATGGGCATTTAGATATGATTAAAATGTTGTCTCAAATCAGTGAGGGTCGGGGAGTGGATTATTTAATACAATATTATAATATCTAGGTATACAGTTAGGAAAAAGTAAATAAGTACCTTACTTATTTTACACCAAAATTCCAATTCATTAAAGACTAAATATGAAAAATGAAATCATTAATATATTAAGAAACACGATTGGATAAATGTTTAAATAAGTCAAGTGGTCACAGCTTTCTAGTAACTAAAACTAAAACTAAAAAGGCAGGTAGGCTTAAAAAACTCTTCATGATATGAACCACCACACACAAGGAAAAACACGCAAGAAACTGAGGTGGGAGTGCCTGCAAATTATGTGCTATGAAGCAGAGTTGGGAAGATGCTCCCTGACTTGACCTTTGGTTGGCATTTGTCAATGAAGTCATGCTGCAATGGCCACAGTCACCTCTGTCCTTGCTACCCTATTTACAACACATTACTAATTTATTTAGAATCCAAAGGACTCTTACAAATCAATAAGAAAAAAGAATAATAAGTGAGTTGAAATACAAGTTAACAGGAAAGGAAATACAAATGGCTCTTCAACCTCACTCACAGTGAGAGATGCAAATTAAAATCACACTGGGAACCACTTTTCACTTACCAGATTGGCAAGGACCAAAAAGAAGATTAATATCCTCCACCAGGGAGGATGTGAAGAAACAATGCTGATACACTGGAGTGGGCGGTGGATCCTTTCAGCCTCTGTTTACAGTGCAGCTACATCACAAGTCAAGTTTACAGATCAGGTGCACTTGCTCCCCTTGACCTAGACACTTCCTTCTATTTACAAGGTTATCATTGCAGCATTGTATATAATATCAAAAGCTTGGAAGCCTTCTAAATATCCACCCAAAACACAGCAATACAATAGATATTATACTGATTTTTTTTAACATACTGATAAAGAATAGGAAACACTGGGTGAAAAGTAGGGAGCAGAATTGTGTCTTTAATATGCTAATACTTGTTTAAAAATGGAGGGGAATATATAGACTTATTTGGTTTTTTAAAATATTTTTTAATTGTTGATGGACCTTTATTTTATTCATTATTTATATGTGGTGCTGAGAATTGAACGCATGCTAGGCAAGCGCTCTACCACTGGGCCACGACCCCAGCTCTAGATCTATTTGTATATGCATAGAATATCTCAGAAAAAAAAATGACAAGAAATGGTTGCTTTTTGTTTGTTTGTTTTGGGGGGATGGGTACTGGGGATTGAACCCTGGGGCACTTTACTACTGAGTCGGATTACCAGCCCTCTTTTTTATTTTTTTATTTTGAGACAGGGTCTCACTAAGTTGCTTAGGGCCTCACTAAATTGCTGAGGCTGGCCTCAATTTGCCATATTCCTGTCTCAGCCTCCCAAGTTGCTGGGATTGTAAGAGTGTGCCACCATGTTTGGAGAAATGGTTGTTTCTAAGGGACAGGAATGTGGGAGGCTTTTCACTGATTTTTTTTTCCCTTTTGTACCTTCCCTTATACCTATCACCTATTAAAAATTAAAAGTTTCACCAAAAAGATCCATATCACTTTGAAACAACTCACTTGTTTATTTTTGTTAAATTAATCATCATAATATCACAAAATAAAGCTATCTTTCAAACCAGTATTGAGACTGAAATACTTTGCCCCATAGTGAAGACTGTGGGACAATCCGACACCTGTTTTTAGGGAATTTCCCACTGAGTCAGATGCAGATATAAGTCACAGAAAGAAAGGGATGAAGACACAGAGGAACTCGTACAAGAATGGACATGAAATTCAGCCATAATGAAGAGCATGCATGACTTGCAACACTGCTGAGCAAGGCCCTTGGCCACCTCACCTCCAGTGAACCACAGTTCAAGTTTACAGGTCAGCCATCCTCCCAGGGCTGACACTGATGTGGGAGTACCTGGAAATCATGTGCTGTGAAGCAGAGCTAGAAAGATGCTCTCTGACTTGACCTTTGGTTGGCATTTGTCAATGAAGTCATGCTGCAATGGCCACGGTCACCTCTGTCCTGGCTACCCTATTTAGAACAGTCTCCAGAATCACAGAAGGTGGAAACTGTAAATACCTCTTTCTCTTCCTTCCATCCACTTTTCCCCTCCCCTAGTCTTCAAACCACAGTTCAGAAGCCAGAAAAGGCAAATGGAAGGTCACAAATCCAATCTTCCTACTATAGACTCAGCCCTGTTTCCCTAAAAGGCCTTGTATAGCAGCACATCAGTATTTCCATTTCCAATAATGAGGAACTGGCTACCTCTTCCCACATCCCTTCCCCAAATGGCACCAAAATAGAAGTATATTTTTTGCATTCATTTTACCCAACAATAATCATTTATTATTCCTTTTTCTTGATTTTAAAAAGTGAAACAAATTGGGTTCCATGGCACATGCCTATGTAATCCCAGCGGCTCAGGAGGCCAAGGCAAAAGGATTCAAAACCAGCCTTAGCAACTTAGTGAAGCCCCCTCTCAAAACAAAAAAAGTAAAAATAAAAATGACTGGGGATGTAGCTCCATGGTTAAGAGACCCTGAGTTCAATCCCTAGTACCAAAAAAAAAAAAAAAAAAGTGAAACAAACACATCATCTTTCTTTAATTTTTTTTTTCTTTTGCTGCCAGTGTGTAACTTCCAAACCTTACCTTTAACCTACCAAAAGTACTCTTAATATTCAGGGCCAAATAATTCTTTCTTGCGAGGGGATGTTTAGCAGCATCCCTAGCTCCTGCCCACGAAAATGTAAATTGTACTGTAAAATTCTTTAAACTTTTATGAAGATGTTTGTAACATTACAATCCCTTGTGACAACCCAAAATATCCCTAAACATTACCAAGCGTCCTCTGTGGGGCAAAATTGCCCCTATTTGGGAACCACTGCCCTTCAAGATATAGGGCCTACAGAAGAACCCTGATATATGTTCATTTGAGGGAGTTTTGTGTATTTTTGGTTGTTG